CTAATTCACCTTGTCGGAAGAGGTCGATCCCTTTCTCTTAAGTCACATATATTATATATATATATATATATATCACATATGATGATAAATATTTTGTTTATGGCGATTTTGGCAATGATCCAACCGACTAACGCGTAAATTTCGTATCGTTAACGGGCCCCAAGGATGATTTCATTTGGCTTATTACATGCACCGTTACGCTCGATTGGATCCTACCTTAATGTATGTATTATCTTCTATTAAAACGTGAGAATTTACGAGTCTCTCTCTCTCTCTCTTTCTCTAAGTGTGATTTTTATTCGCGTGCCAACAACTTAATTAATGTATTTGTTATTTTCAATCTTATATTAGATAATAAGAAAAGAAACTATGAATCATTTTTAGTAAACATTTGTATAGATTTCTTATGAAATATATATTTTCTTAAAAATATTCAGATATTAATTTGAACAATTGTAATTTAGTGTAGAAATTTGTCAACCTTTGTATAATAACAATAATTAATTAAATACATATATATATATATATATATATATATATAACTATCATTCTATTATCTTGTATATCCCCTTATTTGGCAAAACTCGTTTAAACAATTATTCAAACTATTGTACTTAACACTACAGCTATTAAATAAGTAATAAAATAAACATTATAGAACGCGATAAGAAGAAAAATATAAAATGCAATTTAATATCTAATAGAAAATAAAAAGCTACTTTTTTTTTGGTCAAGTTGTTAGTTCATAATTTTATGCTTTAAAATTGACCCAATTTACGGTCATTGAAAACAAATCGATTAAAATCAATCGATATTTTCGTTTCTTCTTATAATAAACATCTACATACAATACACATTCAAATTTGTATATTCACGTATGTTGAATTTAATATATATTTTCGAAAAAACTTTCTTCGCGCCTTTTACCGTTCGACCTCGAATAGAATTTTTCAACGACGATTTTTTTATCCTTGACTCGTCGTCTGACGAAAACAGCTATTAAAAGTTTCGCGTCTTTTACTATACTTCCTCTTCCACCACTGAACCCCCTCCCAAACCCCCTCACCCTATTTTTACTCCACACAACCTGTCACGCGTCGTCGAAATTCAAGCATCGCGTGCGTGTGTTCGATAACACGATACTCTTACCTTTCTGATACTTTGGCGCCACTTTGTTATACGCATGCGTATTATTAATAGTCAAGAATATTCGAGGAACACAAAAAGAAAGATAGAAACGTGTGTAGTATTTGTCACCTTTTCACCTAATTAACCCCATAAGATATCAACGCTATTACCGTAATTGTTCTATACTACCCACACTTGTCGTATCTTTCTTTTTATTTTTTTTTAATTTTATTATCTTATTTTTCCTTTCTCGCTTTTTTGTCTTTTTATTTTTTTTTCAAGACAGAAACAAAAAGACAGAAACTAGAAAATAGTTGGAAGGGGGATGGAGAAGGAGAAGGGGGAGGGAAAGGGGGAAGGTTAGTGTACCGAATGAAACAGGCGGTTGACACGTGAAACAAATCTACTCGTGCGTGTGTACATATTTAAACAAAGATTTGATTTATCACGCTCGACATTTACCTTTTTTTTTCTTTTTCTTTTTTTTTTTTTTTTTAAATTCAATGAAAGAGAAGTAAAACAAAATTCGACGAACGTGTCTTTTTTTTTTTCATTTCTTTAGCGCGATTATTTAAATTTTAATTTAAAAAGTCAACGACGCTCGACAGCACGTCACCCTATAATGTTCCTCGATGTCTGTTTTGCACACGCGTACACGTGCATTATATATATACATACATATATATATATATATAAAGGTTACACACGACACGCATGAAGAATTGCTATCGTGATCGAGCGTATTTGCTTCTAGCCTAGCATATCCGCTTACCAAAGAGAGAAAAAGAGAAAGAAAGAAAGAAAGAAAGAGAAAGAGAGAGAAGGAGAGAGAAGGAGAGAGAGAGAGAGAGAGAGAATACGATGGATAGAAAAATAGGGGCGTGCGAATAATCGTGCTTACTCCGCCACGTGTCTATTTATATCGTTGTTAATTTAATCACGTTTATTCGGAACAGACAGCGTGTATGTGTGCGCCTACGAAAAAGCAAGAAAGAAAGAGAGAGAGAGAGAAAGAGAGTCAAAGTGGGAGAGAGAAACACTTATACGATATGTCTAAAAAACTTCCTCACCGATGGTTCTTCTATAAAGAAACGTACGAAAAAATAAAACTATTCATTTCTAATCTATAATAATTCTATAATCAGTATTTCCTTTATTTTTTTTTTTTATTAGGAATATTGAAACGAGAGAGGGGGGAGAGAGAGAGAGAGAAGTGTATATTCGGTAAGAACGAATAAAGAACGAATGTATTATACATTGCGCAAATCGTGTTCTATTTATTAATAGCAGCCGCGATTTGGCAACCACTGTTGTTTACCAAGATCGGCCATATACGGTCTGCCGATGTGTATGCGCGCGCGCGCGCGTTCTCGTGCGTGCGTTTACGCTCGTGGCAAGAGAGAAAAAAACACGCGTGCGCTTGCTATTACGGAATTATTAATGTATCTCTCGTATGAGTGTATTAGAATGTCGTCCGTATTCTCTTCGTCGTCCTCTCATTGGCCGTCGTCGTCGTCGTCGTCGTCGTCATCAACGAGCTCACCCACTGACTATTTTATTTCTTTTCTTATTTTTTTCTTTTTCTATTTCTTTCTTTTTCTATTTATCATCGGCAACATTTATCTACGATATTTTGTTTAATCCTTTAAAAATTGTTTTCTCTATGTCTATGTCTATCTTTCTATCTCTATCTCTATCTTTGTTTCTTATTCTTGTTCATCGCGTTGAATGCTACATTTACATTTTTACTTAAATCTCTTCCAATAGAATAGATTGCGATGTTGACTTATGTGTTAGTTATCGGTAACGCACCTCTCTACGGTCTTATGAGTTTGTATAAAAAAAATAACATAACGATACGCGCACGATAATAACTTTCCAACTCGTGATAGTCGATCTTTTTATTACGTTCTTCTACCCATGGAAACGAAGAGACGAATTTAGAATAATAATAATAATAATAATTGTGTTTTGTGAATATATTTTTGTTCTTTATTTGTCTTCCTATCTCTTATGTTTGTTGCAAAGATCTCTCTCCCTCTCTTTCTCTTTCTCTATCTTTTTATTTTTTTAAAAGAGAAAGAGAAAGATAAAGAGAACCTATCTTTCCTAATTTCTCAATAATAATAATAATAATAATAGCAGCATATTGCGTGCATTTTTCATAATACGTCAAGCCTACACACGCGTTATAGAACTTGATACAGCTTAGCTAGCCACTTCTACAATTCTTGTCAGTTAGAATATGCGAATGCGAATTCCATCCTGTTTACAAAGAGTTGGTATCTGGCAAGTGTTGATCGGAGACAACGATCGCAGTTAACGTTGCTGACACAAATATTTTCTTAATCTCTAAATACATCTATGAGAACATAAGATAAAATAATCCTCCTAGAGAAATAACAGGCTCCGCCCTATTGTTACTCTAATTTCATTTTCATATTATCATTATTATTCGAATTAATCAATCTCTTTCGTTTATTTTCGTAATGCAACATTATCACGAGTATACACGTTTCTACGTTTATTCGTTCCTTTCTTCCTTCCTTCCTTCTTTCTTTCCTTTCTTACTTTCTTCGTTCGTTCGTACATTCGTGGAAAGTGAAATCTGCCAAAAGGCATTAACCTAAATTCTTCTAATAACTCGGAAAAAGATTGCTGCGTTCGGTCCTTCCTTCCATCTTTCCTTCGATCAAACTCAAACTTGTTGCAACTTAACTTAACTCAACTCGTGTCGGTTGAAGAAACGTCCGAACGATCGACGACCTCGTTGGCCACGGTTCTTCACACCTGCAAATACAAAACTTGCTCTCTCTCTCTCTCTCTCTGTCTATGTTTCTTTCTTTCTTTCTTTTTTATTTCTCTTTCTCTGTCGTTGTTTCCCGATGCCATTGCACCTGCCGGAATGCTCGTACGTTTACGAGACAGAATACTAACGCGTTAAATAAAGCGTACGTCGACCGAGATTTCCCTTTTTCCCCCCTCTTTCATCCCCCAACACCTTTCCCTACCCTTCCCTTCCCTCTCACTCTCCAACTCTTCCTCCCACATCATTCCATTTCATTTAATTTCTTTTTTCGTTTCTTTTTCTTTTATCGCAAGAAAGAAGAAGCAAATTCGTCTCGAAGGAATAGAAATTAAATGCGGAAAAAGAAAGTTAAACGGTAGGACTTGGTGAAAGAAGCAACGTTTAGCTCCTTAACGAATATTACGTGAAAAAGACGATGAAAATTTTATTCCATAGGTTGAGCTGCGTAACCAACGTAAGAAGAAGAAGATGAAGATGAAAATGAAGAAGGGGGCCTTGCAATTCTTAGCAGCACCTTCGGGATCGCTGAGATCAAGCCGGTTGGCCTTATGTTAAGTCTCGAACAATTCGAACGATGAATATGAAGGAGAAAGATTACGAAATTTGTGCCGAGTGTCAAACGATAAAAATCTTTTCACGCGGTTCTTGCGATTATCCATCTCGCTGATTTCTTTTTTTCGTGCCTAGGAGTCGGTCTCCGGAATAAAACGGTTTTTATTTTATCCATTCGATTTTTCTCGTTAACTTATCTCTACGTATTTTATGCGGTTTCGTTTTCTTTACGGAAAAAATGATTTCTAAATTAATTTTGATGTGCTCAAAATCGGTGGATTTACGATATTTTTTTTTGAATTTCGAATAGTTGCAAATTCTTGGCATTAGATTCCCCCTCCCCCCACCCCCACCACTATCTAAACATGAAAATAAATCGGTTAAAGAGAGCGGCATCTGGCGGGACGCCAAAGAAAACATTTTCGAATTACGCTTACCAGTTCGAACATCACTGAACGCTCATTGTACATCCAAAATTATAATCCGTTCGTTATTTTTGGGCTGGACTTACCTTTTCATCGAGATTGTTCAGATCCGGCAACTGAAATGAAAACAATGTTGCGTTAGGTTAATATCGAATGATATTATGCTAAGATTAGATCATATGTATTATTGTAAAACTGAAATTATTAATAATAATGAATTGATTTTGATGATTTATTCAACGATCAAGAATATCGCATACTTCGATTGTAATTGGAACGAGACTTAATACGATAGACTATGGTCCAGATCAATTTTATCTTATCGTCTGACCTAAATTACTTCCTACTTTTAATTGAATCGAACGATACTTGGATTATTAAATGAAAAAGACAAAATGAATGCAGGATAAAATAGCATTAGTGAAATATAGAAAATGAATAAATTCAATTCCGGCATTCTCGTATTTAATTAAACTATCTATTAACTTTCGTAACCATTAAACTGTTTAGATTGAATCTTCGATTACTATATTTGAAATCTAAATGTTTTATATATTATCAGGTTCGTTCCAGATAATTATTAATTCGAAAAATCAAATATATTATTTCGCAATCCATACTTAAATTATTATTAGGAGTATACGATTAAATGAAACTTGCTTATACGATTCAAATTAAAACAAAATTATTAAATGGACAAATAAACAAAGTAAAATCGCAGAAGAAAAAACTTAAGATCTAATATTCTATAAATTATTGATGATTTAAAAAAAGTCATTTTTATGTGTGTTACATTCGTTTATTATCATATATTACCTCTTTACGATCTTCTTTCAAATTTATTTTACCTTCGAGATCGTGAAAATAATCGAGTCGATAATTCGATTCTATATTTAAACGATAGCGCCATCAATTTACTGATCTTCGAACTTTAATGGAATAAAAATACTGTTTTATCGATTGAATATAAAATGTTGGTAAGGTAGGCCATGATTTTATCGATATTGATTAACCCCTTCCGGAAGATGTCCTGACATGCTTCTAAGCTTTTTCTCGAGTAAAGCAGATTAAAGGAAATTGAAGGCAATTTGTATCAATCTACCGTCCCGCCTGAATAATATACTCTCCTCGAGTATAGCGTGCTAGTGTCAATTTAACGCCCGATGTGTCGGCCCGTCTAATTAACCTTCGTTATTGTCGTTGGGTATCACGTAAGAGGGAATTTCCGTGACACGAAAGTAAAAAAAGAAAAAAAAAAAGAAAGAAAGAAACCAAACCCCACGTCTTCTCGTTTTCCCTGATCCGTAATAACTCGCCACGAGAATCAAATCAAATAAATGATAATGAGAAACTAAAGATATATATATATATAATGTTCAATCGTTTATTACATTTGCAATTAAAAAACGTAGATTGAACCACGCGTTTAAATAATCTCGTTAAAAATAGAATAATTTAAATACGAATTTATATTTTTATCTTTTTTAAAAACAATAACACACACGCAACCTTGTATTAAAATATAAAAAAAAAAATTAAAAATAGGTTTAACAATAATATATCGATTTCCATAAGTTTGCCCCGTGGAAACATATTCGATAATTAAGAAACTTATAATTACGAATCGTAATTAGGTTAATATCAATTTTATCGCTCTCCTGTGAGATTTCCATTTGATATTTGCTTTACTCCTTCTATTAATGATTTATGAATTAACGTGTATCTCTAATTGAAAACATTTGTAATACATACATGCATGTTAATAAAGAAAAAATAAATAAAATGTAAATAAAAAAAAATGATAAAGGTCCATGACTTTTTCTCGAAACAATTGTATTTCGAAGTTCACGTGTTTCTCGTTTACCTCGATCTGGATTAGAAAATACGATAGCCGAACAACGTTGAAGAGAAACGCGTGACTCACGCGATCAATGAACCTTCTTCTTTTCTTGATAATTAAATCCGATACTAGGATATTTTAAAAAACACAAAAGTTAAACGTAGTTATATAACTTCGTGTTTTTTCGATTGAAATTATAAAAGTAAACTTCCGGAAATTTTTCACGCGAACGTAACTATTTATTTCTGCTGAAGTTAAAAAAAAAAAGAAAAAAAGTAAAGAAAGAAAGAGAGATAGTGAAAAATGTTCAAATTTTGATTGTATATATATATATATAAATCTCTTTCTCTTTCTTTCTTTGATTGTTAATGTAATATGCAAATTATTTGAGCATTTACAATAGCATTTAAATGCCACCGTCTACCAGAGCTTTAGTGTTTAAAGGAGGACGGATCGATATATGCATTACCTTGGAGACAGTTTCTACGAGACGCTTCGATAACGTATCTAACGCACATATATTACTACGTAAATTTACGTAGAATTATGTGATACGTAGCCGGCAGCCTCTTACAAACTTATCGAATTTATAGGTAATAATCATAATGTGTACAACATTCGCTAACAACTCGCCTTAGAATTTTATTAAAAAATGTGTAAACAAATATTATTAATCATAATATATATATATATAACTACAATACACAATTTATAATATTAATTATTCATTTCATTCGAGATTTTCATCATAGATTCCTATTTTAATATTCAGTCATGGAAAATTATGGTTTTATAAATAATATATATCTTATATATATATATTATAAATATGTAAGTGGGGTTGATTAATTGCGAGCCTCTGCTAACATAGAAATAAATAATTTTGTATTGTTCGATTTAAAATTATTATTAATAAGTTTAATTATTGTTAACCCACTTTCGTATAAATTTGAAGGTGCCACTTATTATATGAGATTTCTTTGATGTGAGAAGGGATATATAAAAATGTTTAATCCAAATGTTTTTTAATATCTTCGAGAGAAATATTTTTCTATTGTTGATCGAATCATTCTGAAGAATAATAAGTTCGATTCGCTTATCAATCCGTCTTTTTTTTTACATTTGAGTTAGTAATAAAGCAATTAAGTGAATCCCAAGATACACAAAAACATGTTAACTTTCGAGATAACAAATTAACGTGATTGCTATAAAATTCATTAAGTGGAAATAATTAATACGGCAATAATTTGCACTGTACGAACTACTGCATCAAAAGAATCTTATGTCAATATAAATTATCATTTGTGTTCGCGTGCCAAGGGGGTCGAAAATAAACCACATGGTTAATGAAATTGTAACCAATGCGATTTTTTGAAAGAGTTATGTCAAACAAATATTACAAAAACTTAATTGTGAACTAGAAAAAATTCAAGAAAAGACAAAATTGAAGAAATGAAAAACAAATAATTGCAAGAAAAAGATCGTATTAATCAACTTTCTAGTAGAACGAATTGAAATTTGTATCTGGGAATAATAGAAAATATCGAATACTCGTTTGGGTGTAGATCTAAAAGAAAACGAACCTGAACAGGACGTTACTACAATTAAACAAAAGTTATTCGTTCGAATTTTCTCTTTTATTTTGATTCTTTTTATCTTTGGATCAAAGCTTCCTCTCAAAAACTCGCGAATATCCCGTTACTTGTTATATAACTTTTAACGTTTGTTCCTATAAACGATAAAATAATTTTAACGAAAGAAAGAAAAAAGAAAACGGAAGTAAAAGAACAAGAAGAAAAGTTAAGAAGCGATTAAGGTGTTATACCACACCTTAATATTGGGCAAAAAAAATTAGTATAAAAAGAAAATTGTTGTTTAACGCGACTTTCTAATCTACTCACTAAATTTTCTATTAATCAAGATCTGTGTAATCTTCCTTTAAAGGATACGATAATGAAAAAAAAAAAAAAAAGGAATAGAAGAAGAAATTGGCAGAAAAGAAACGAAGAGTGGCAAACGCATCAGAAGGATGCGTTTTTGCTTAGATAAAACAAAAAAAAAAAGGCAAAGAAAACAAAATGGAGGGTGAGTATAGAAAGCGCCATACATTTGATCTTCTACGCTTGAAACTTATTCAAATTTATACGATCGAAAGGCGAGAGGAGACGCAAGCACAAAGGAAAGTTTGCCCCTTCTATAAGATATAACGCAAAAGAAGAACGAGTTCGTAGACCCACTCTCTTCTCTCATCTTTCTTATCTCGCCTACAATGCGATTTTACGACTAACCTTTAAAAACTATCGTAAAGAAGACAAGAAAATGAAAAGAAAAGAAAAAAAAGACAAAAAAATAGTAGGTACTCGGTGAAATTTTCAACTCAAGTTAGTCGCATATTGTCATCATTTTGTTCTTTTTTTTTCTTTTTTTTTTTTGCAATATACAAAATCAACAATGGTGTCGTTTATTTTGACAATTACCCTAAATCCATTTTTTAGCTCCCAGATTGTAGATTGTTATTAAACAATGACTAATCCATGAATTATATTTCACACTTTTCTTTTTTCTTTTCTATTTCCTTTTTTCACCCCACCTTCTTCACATTTCTATAATATTATAATTATTTAAATAATATTTCTCTTCCTTAACTCCTATCTATCTCATCTTTATCACTTTTGCAACATCGTTAAAATTAAATCAAACAAACAAAATTGTTCCATATTTTTCTTAACGAGTTAACATTTCACATGAGACAATTTTTGTGTTCAAGAACGTGACACAAAGAGTCAAAGAAAGAGACCTTTTTTTTTTTCATTCTAATTCTATCGATTAATTAAATGTAATTTCAAACGATTAATTTACGTAGAGAAGAAACAAATGAAAAATATAATAATAAATATCTATTATTTGTCCTTAATTATTTTTTTTATCTTATTCTACTTCATAATTCTCGTATAGCATAACTTCTTCTTCTTCTTCTTTTTCTTCATGATAATTCTCGTCAAGTTTCTCATCGTGATGCAAATCCTTACCATTCCTTATTCCTTTCTTTCTTTTACTCACTCACTCACTCACTCACTCACTCACTCATTCACTCACTCTCTCTCTCTCTCTCTTTTTTCTGCAGTGTGTTCTATGATAGAGCGGCACGCTTCGTCGCATCTTCCATCGAGGAAGTTAACTTGGTGAAGAAGTCTAACCACCGATCAAGAGCCAAGGAAGTATGACGGTAACGCAAAGGGCAGCCAAGCAACTTGCACACATTGCCAGAGGGCTCGCCGTTCCTTCCGTTTCTACTTCTACCCCATAATCTTCGATTACGTCGTCCCTCTCAAATTCTCGAACCTCGACATCGCATCTGAAGCAAACTCGACTTCTTCTCTTTTCATCATAAGAACTTTCATCTCTTCTTAGTAAAAGATCTGAACCTTTTCTCTCCAACTTCCAACCAGGCTCCTGTACCAACATTCGAGTCATTTTTATTTCTATTTTTTTTTCTCCCCTTTTACTCTTCTTCTTCTTTTACTTCTACTTCTTGTTCTTCTTCGTCACCTGAAAAAGTTACATTTGAAAATAAGTCATATTGTATTTCTAATAGCAATGTTGTGTTTTTATTACAATCTAAATTATGAACTATTGTAATAGTATTGTTAAATAATATATCAGGCAAGATTTAACAATAAAATAAAATCAAAGTATATATAGTGTTAGTTTAGATACGAATAATCAAGTTCAAGTTGAATTTTGTTCCTTTGAATGAATCCTACCCCAATGCTCGTATATATTCTTCAATTAGAATAAATAAAATCTGATAATTTTATTACGGATTATAAAGAACGTCAAGGATCGTGAAAAAGTACTGAAAAGAAAGTAAACAACAAGAAAAAAAAAAAATAAGTAGAAAATAAAGATAAAATGTGTAATAAGATAGTGACACGAAAAAATATGTTTTGCTTTGGATTCTTAAAGTATCTTTCCTTAATGGACATTTTCAGTAAAATGACAGACGTGTAACCAACGACGAAAAGGAAAATATAAAATCAAGGACAAGGAATATACGTCCGGAGTGAGAGAGAAAAAAAGAAAGAGAGAGAGAGAAAGAAAAAGAGAAGAAAACTCGTCCTCTTGTTCCTATATTTGAATTGCAAATTTGGGAACATTTTTCTTGAAAAAGAATTCTATAGAGATCTCGTAATTCAGGAGAAAGGGTAAGGGACCGTGTAATGGTATACCAAACGACGACGACGACGACGACGACGAATCTTTTTCCTATTCGTTTGAAGGATTTTTGTTCAAAACAAACCGAAAGCCATTTAAATCCAATTTCAAGTATCCGACGTCTCAAGCTCTACTTTATTTTAACCGTCTTATTACAACTGACATGAATATTTGAAGTCAACAAAAATTCAAACATTCCTCTGTTTACTATTCAATTATATTATTATACTTCTACGTTCGTAAAAGAATAACAAATTAAGTAAAAATACAAAATGTCTGTAAAACATAGAACATTATATTTGAATATATACTCTCTGGGATTAATAAGTTCGTCTCGAAAAGTTAATACAAAATTTGTTTATAATATTATTATATTTTAATTGAATGGCTAATAATAATCTTCTAATTAGATATTGTCTAGTTTGTAATTATGAACTTATCTCGAATACCAAAAAAAAAAGAAAAAATATCTGACTCGTATACCTTTACTTTCCATCTATTTAATTATTAATTTAAAATAAATCGTAAAATGAATTTATAGTCAATATTTGGAATATAATCGATTGTCATAATTATACCGGTACATATACCGAATGATATATATATATGTATATCAAATTCGATTATATTAACATTAAGTTATTAATCTACCAGTCATATAGAAGCTAATCCTAAATGAAATACAACAGCAAAATTAATACTCTGGTTTATAATATAGGGATACACGAATTGAGAATGAAGTTTAATCAAATAAAAAAAAAAAGTTAATTACAAGTTATCGATATTGATCTAACTATGATAACACGTATCAAAGGTAACGCTTTATTCCACGTAAAAAAAAAAAGAAAAAAAATATACTTGTGTCAGGTCTAAAAAGAACGTGAATTCTTTGAGATATTATTTACGATGCAAACAAACCGCTTTAGCACACATTTTTTTCTTATCTATCCAATTTGAAAATTCTATCCACGAAATCCGGATTTACTTAGTGCGAACGTTATGGCAAAAAGGAAAGGAAAAAATAAAAAAGCGACATCGAGAAGATGAGAGGAGAGGAAAGGAAAGATGAAGGGAAAAAGTAAAGAACCGAGTAAAGAAACGGAAGTTGGCTCTTGTCCTGGAAATACTAGTTTTCCACGACTTCCTCCTCCTCCTCCTACTATTCTTTGCACGAAACACCGAGGAACGAATCGAAGTTAACTTTCATCATTTCATCGTGTTCTCCTTCGCAAACCCAGAATAGTAGAAGGAAAACAGGAAAAATAAGTTAACACTGTTAATAGGCAGTCAGAAGAACTGAGCAACTTTCTTAAAAGTTTCCTCTTTAATTCCGTACACGTGCTGCTGTTGCTGCTGTTATTCTGTTTTGTTCTATATATTCCCTCTCGAATCCTATCGAGAAATCTTAACAAAAATAATATTAACAACAACAACAACAATAACAATAAGAAGAAGAAAAAAGAAAAGTAGCAAATGAACGCTCGATTATTCAAGATAATCGGTAAAAAAGAAAAGTAGCAAATCATTTGCCGTCCCCGTTTTCTCGTTTAATGAACCGAGTATTCTACTTTTCGATAACTCTTACAATTAGTTAACACATTTTCTTCTTTATAATACCTTTTCTTTTTTCCATGCAACTAATACGAATACCTATCCTAGACACGTCCCAGTTCTACTTTTGATATCCAATTAAAAGACTCGCTGTGTTCTTTACGAAATAACATAAAATTCGAATAACCGATTAGATCAAGTCCAACTTGAAATACGTATACAACACGGTTTTGTTTTTTTTTGTTTTATGTTACTATCGATAACGCGATATCTATCGTAATATATAAGTATAGTACTGTAAAGTGTAATAGAAATAAAATAGGAGAAAGTTGAAAGACCATTCTCTCTTTTGTATGACGATTGTCTTGAAAATAAATGTTACGAAAGGGATGAGAGAATAAAAGCAATATCATCTTCTTGCTTATTTTTTGTTCTACTTCTTTTTCTTTTCCCTCATACAGTTCCATCCCTTTTTTTCCTCTTTTATATATCGGAAAAAAATAAATATATTTATTACTTTTTACGCGCGTCTTTTAGACGAAATATTCAGGGTGTTGGATTATTTTTAAAGGGCACGTCTCGAGTTATAGAAACTTATAATTTTTTATTCATCAATCGATTCTACGTGTTATTGTAAAGAAAAAATAAAATAAAAGAAAGAAATAAAAATAATCTGATGAAGTAGTTAAGTTATAGTAACACCTGGTATATATAGATCTATAATACTGATTCTGGGAGGAATAGATAGGAGAAAGTCTATGTGATCCACTTAATCCTATTCGACGTAAACTTCGATCAATAGTTTCGCATAATCGGTACTAATGACTGTCAAAGAGCAGAGAAACTAGGACGAAATTTCACGTGCCACCTTGACGATATGAGATTATTTGCGTACAAAGAGAAAGACATAGAAAAAGAGAGAGAGAGAGAGAGAGAGATAGAGCTAAATTTAAATTAATCGATAAATATCGATCGATAATTTAAACGATCTCACATTTTCAAAACGAATCATCTTTCTATATTGTGAATTAACTTAATTAACTTATACTTATCCGATCATCTCATTCGATAATGACAAAAAAAGGTTTGATAATTTTCTATCAAATTCTATTCCCATATTTATGCGAATTATCCTTGAATAATAAAACATTAATAAAACAGAGCAAACTAAATCGAAAAAAAAAACTCGACGAAATTATCGTATTCTTTATTGCTTCCGAAAAAAATAAAGAAATAAGAAGTAAAAAAAAAAAACAAAGTTGGAAAGGTAAAATGAGAGAGGGAAGATAAAAGTACGTGAAATTTTTTTTCCTTTTGTTTCCTCGCTTTCGCGAAAAAGTTAAGGAGACTACTTCGGAGACGACAACTAGAACGACGTGGACTCTCATAAAGGTTCTCTCGTTACAAACTACTACTTCGTTGTTACGTCCTATAACTACAATTCTTCGAGATAAAAGCAACTCGTGACTTGATTATGTTCTGCGATTATTACAAGCGGAGAAAGAAGAAAAAAAAAAGAAAAAGAAATATCATCGAGTTTCTTTTCTATTATTATTTTTTTCTTCCTTATATTCGTTTTTTCTAACACAAGATTTGATTGGTCACTTTTTTTCTAATATATATATATATATATATATATACAAATATCTATTTAATTTATCATTAGTTTAACATATTAAACCTAATGCTTAACCAATCACTTTTTTATATTTACGTCTCTCACTTAAGTATTTTTAAAATCTTAACATTCCAAAAGAAATACATTAATAATTCTTACTAATCAAAAATTAACGAAAATCTAAAATTATTCATTGTTAAATATACGATTGAATTGTGTCTTCCTTTCCCTCCTTTAAAATCAAATTGTTTCCTTGCGTACCTCCACGCATTGAGAACCACGATACTAAATCTTTTTATCAACAATTTACGTATATAAATTTAGTAATTATAATTGTAAAAATCATCGAACAAAGATATGGGAAATAACATCGAGATCAGGAATTAAAAATTTTTTAATATAAAACCGTTCGTTTGAACTCGGTAATCGTGATACGTTTAATATTTAATAGAAAAAAAATAATAATAATAATAACAGGATAAAGTGTAACGAAGAAAATAGAAAATGTAACGGAGTAAGGAGAAATAAACGTAGAAAGTAAAAATTAAAAAAAGAAAGAAAGAGAGCGGAGAAAAAGAAGAGGATGAAAATTTGATTTAAAATTAAAAAACGCGGTGATCAATGAACGCGGAAAAGAGTAAACGATAAAAAAAAGTATGCTTGATGATAGAGTTGTTACTTAAAACGAAATGAGAAATAAATGGATAAAGGAAATGCGTTGTTCTGGAAATCGGAAACTCTTGTAATGCTATCGTACAGCATTTACTGTAATTTCCGCTTTATTTGATCCTTTCGTATGCATACCTACATACTCTTACGAGTTTACATCATCCACCATCGATGTTTTACCGCATAGAACGATTTTTTATCGTATTTTATATATTATCGTGAATAATTCTCTTTTTCTTTCTTCACTAATAATACGTATCAATGATATAAAAAACAAAAAAACAAAAACTAATTGAGAGTATTAACTATCTACGAATTATCGTTATTGTTTAAACGATAAAAAGAAAAAATAATAAAACGAACAAAATTCGTCAAAGAAAATTGAATTGAAACGATGTATGACGTGTAAAATCATATTTATCGGATAAAAAAGATAAGTCAAGGTTCACGTCAGAAAAGATACATTATCGAAATAACATTTCTTTTTTTTTTTCTT